CATTTAATTTCTTCAGGGTAATAAAAGAGAAAGCCAAACCTCCAGGAGGTGAAGCAAAAGGGGCACAGGCAGCACCCATCCAGCATTCATTTCTCACAGATGTATCAGATGTCCAGGAAATGGAAAGGGGACTTCTGAGCCTCCTGAACGACTTCCACTCTGGCAAACTTCAAGCGTTTGGTAAGTTTTTGTTTGTGTAGAACAGCTGTTTTTACAGTTATATGTTGATAACTTTTGCAAAGAGATGTGGTGTATTGCCAGACTGCCAGTTTGTCATACTCTGCTATTCAAAATCGAGTTTAACATGACTTAGTAGACGTTGCTGCATTTTTAAGTGATAGTCCTATTTTGAGGTTGTCTCTGGTGGGAGATGATTCCAGTGCCAGCTCATTGTTCCTTCCAACACGGCACACCAAAGGCAGTACCCTGGCTGATGGATTTAAGGTACCAAGTTTAAAGACACTTATTTATGATAGTGTAGGAATGATAAACTTTATTTAGCACCTGATTTTGCAGCACATTAACACTTTAGACTGTTCACAGAATCACAGAATGTCAGGGATTGGAAGGGACCTCAAAGGATCATCTAGTCCAATCCCCCTGCCGGAGCAGGACCACCTAGATCAGATCACACAAGAATGCGTCCAGGTGGGTTTGGAACATCTCCAGAGAAGGAGACTCCACACCCTCTCTGGGCAGCCTGTTCCAGTGTTCTGTTCCCCTTACTGGGAAGAAGTTCTTCCTCATGTTTAAGCGGAACCTCCTATGTTCCAGCTTATATCCATTTCCCCTTGTCCTATCTCTGGATGCCACTGAGCAGAGCCTGGCTCCATCCTCATGACAGTCAGCCTTTACATATTTAAAAACATGAATGAGGTCCCTCCTCAGCCTCCTCTTCTCCAAGCTAAAGAGACCCAACTCCCTCAGCCTTTCCTCATAAGGGAGATGCTCCACTCCCTTCATCATCCTTGTGGCCCTACGCTGGACTCTCTCCAGCAGTTCCTTGTCCTTCTTGAACTGAGGGGCCCAGAACTGGACACAAGATTCCAGATGTGGCCTCACCAGGGCAGAGGGGGAGAACCACCTCTCTTGACCTACTAACCACACCCCTTTTCATACACCCCAGGATGCCAGTGGCCTTCTTGGCCACAAGGGCACATTGCTGGTTCATGGTCATCCTGCTGTCCACCAGGACTTCCACCCTGTGCTGTTGGCAACAGCTTGTATGGAATCCAGTGCAAGTTGCATTTTACCCAGTACGTTCTTCTGTCTTAGCATCTTGCTGTTGTTACTATTTCACAGTTGATGGAGGCTTCAAAAAAAAGAACCCCAAACATTACGCTCTTCTGCTTCCTTTTTTTCCCCTGTACTGTGTAGAAAGATGGCGTATGCGCTTTGATAAGTTTGGTGTTAGGTCAGCATGTCACTTTAATTCCACACTTATTTTACAAGAGAACCTGAAGAGTTAGTATTATATAAAGCATTGGTTAAAAGAAAGAAACCCTTGAGATTAATCAAAATTAGAAAGGTTTATTGTGATCATATTTAAAGTTAAAAATACAAGACCTTTCTAAATCATAGAGAAATTCAGAGTATCATAAAAACATGCAAATTCTGAAAAACAGGTTAGTGCATTCGGTAGTTATCCCAAGTTCAGCACAACATGACACCAGACGGGATGACAGAAACTTCAGGATTGAAACAGGCAGAAATCATAAGAAGCAAATTAACTTCACAGAGTCATAGAATGGTTTGGGTTGGAAGGGACCTCAAAGATCATCTAGTTCCAACCCCCCTGCCATGGGCAGGGACACCCTCCACTACACCAGGTTGCCCAAAGCCTCATCCAACCTGGCCTGGAACACTTCCAGGGATGGGGCATCTACAACTTCTCTGGGCAACCTGTTCCAGTGCCTCACCACCCTCTGAGTGAAAAATTTCTTCCTTATATCTAATCTAAATCTGCCCTCTAACTTGTAAATGTGATGTTTAAATTCATTTTCTCTGATGCAGAAAGCTGCATCTTCACACCTTCGTGTGCTCTCTCAGGTTTCTTTTATCTCAAGCTGCTGCGTGTTCTTTCAGGAAATGAGTGTTCCATAGAGCAGATGGAGCATGTGCGGAGTATGCAGGAGAAACTTGCTCGCCTCAATCTGGAGCTCTACGGGGAGCTGGAAGAACTCCCTGAAGATAAAAGAAAACTAGCCAGTGACTCCAACCTGGATAGGCTGCTGTCAGACGTGAGTACTGGGAAGGCAGAACACATGGAACTTTGCCCACAGAACTCTGCTCAGGAAAACACCACTATCAGCTGGGCAGTGATTTACAGTTGAGGAGAAAACAGTTCTGTAGTTAACAGAGATGTGAGCCCTACCCTCATCTGGGTTTCCAGAAGACGCAATCCCTTGTTTTCCTTTTTTGTAGGAGTGGAACAGCCTGGCTGTACACTGACCGAGGATGTAGGCTTGGGTAGAGACAGCCAATGTGCCAGGGAACTAGGACCCTTCTCCTTGTGGTCCATCTTCCCACACCTGAGGAATACCACACATAACGAGGAGTTTAGAGCTGTATATTCTATACTTCCAGCTGCTTTTCACTACTTTATTTCCATGAAACCCAAAACTTAATTTCTTTACATTTCCTGAGACAGGCAGATTTAAATTTAATTTGGGACTTAGTTCTATTGGTGTAGAATTCAGTGCAGGTTTACTTTACTTTTTGTAATAAAATCATACATTTCAGCCCAAACTATTAGTGATTTGCTTTAGTGTTTTAGGGTATTTATTTCCTCATATCAGCATAATTGTTGCATTTATTTCACTAACTGAAATGCTGTTTTTGATACTTTCTACATTTATATTGCAGCTAGAAGAACTGAATTCATCTATGTATCCTTTTCTTTAAATGTCTATTTTGCATTATATATTATTGTTAATTGTAGCCAAATTATAGCATATTTCCCCAGTAATTGGTGTTTTTCCAGGAGTCAGATCTCTTCAATCACAGAATGGTTTGGGTTGGAAGGGACCTCAAAGATCATCTAGTTCCAGCCCCCTGCCATGGGCAGGGAAATCCTCCACTACACCAGGTTGCCCAAAGCCTCATCCAACCCGGCCTTGAACACTGCCAGGGATGGGGCATCTACAACTTCTCTGGGCAACCTGTTCCAGTGCCTCACCACCCTCTGAGGGAAAAATTTCTTCCTTATATCCAATCTAAATCTCCCCTCTTTCAGTTTAAATCCATTGCCCCTTGTCCTATCACTACACACCCTTGTAAAAAGTCCCTCTCCAGCTTTCCTGTAGGCCCCCTTTAGGTAATGGAAAGCCACTATAAGATCACCCCGGAGCCTTCTCTTCTCCAGGCTGAACAGCCCCAACTCTCTCAGCCTGTCTTCATAGCAGATGTGCTGTGGAACACAAGTGGAATGTGATCATAATATCACATAACAGTGATAAAAATAATTTGCCATCCCCCTTGATCTGCCACTAATTCTGGAGGTCTGTAATGCCTAAGTCTCACTGAGGAAGATTAATCTACTGGTTGAGAACTGGCATAGGACTTCATGGAACTGAATTCATCTGGACTGGTGCATGTCCATGTCAGGACTAAGCACAGGTCCATGGAACAGTGCTGTCTTGTTTGTATCCTATCTATACGTGAAAATGTTATTCCTTAATGGTTTGCTTCAGCCAAAAACTACATTTAGCAGATGCTCAAGATATTCCAAATAGTGCCACAGGCTGAGAGAACAACTTGGGCAATTTGGATTCTCCCAGAAGCTTTTCTTTTGTTTTTCCTGACAGTGGAATCTGAAAGAGTTGCGGGTTCTTGTTTTGAGTTTGTTTTTTTAATTGATTTTACACAATGAAGAAACAAAGTGCAAATCCAAGTTATTTATTTTTGTACATTTCTCTTTGAGCACTGCATTACGTCAGGACTCAGTATCTCGAGTTTAAGTAGGTTGTTGTGATGCTGTGCTTTTTGTTATTGCCTTATTTAACAGAAAAATTGGGGAAACTTGAAGTACATTTCTTCTGCTAAGTGTTGTTCACATGGTTGAAAATGATAGCTGTGTAGAAGTTACTGAGCATTTCTCCACTTTTTACAAAGGTAGCAATGATGCTGCCTTGCTGACCAGTATGTAGACAATCTGCACGCTTATCTTTAGTGGATTATTGATCAGCGATGCCAGATTAATTTATTGTTAATAAAGTAAAACATTTTAAATATGATGTTTCCTTTAGAGAAGTTGCTATCTGTTCAGCTGTGTTAAGAAGATATCTGAATGTTTGCTGCAAAGCTTACTTTTTTGTTCCTGTGAATAAGTACGAAGTGTCACTAAATTAGAACTAGCATGCATGCTAGCAGTCCACATAATTTGATTAAATATTGTCAAATTCCAAAATTGGGTAAACAGTTATTGTTCAATAAATCCAGTATATGCAATTTTGTAGTCATTCCTAAGCCACAAATACTCTGGTATGTGTTGGTATCATCTTTCTGTTCACAGTCAGAGAAAAAAATTCTGTATTAGTGTAAAATCAGGCTGGTTTTAGATCCAGAATTTCTATCCTGGTCCATCAAACTATGCCTTTGGTTCTAGATTTATTTTCAGGTTTTAGGGAAGGCATTCAGATTGTATATTGTATGTACTTACTTCACAAGGAAAGAAATCTTCCAGTTGGAAAAGAGCAAAGCTTTCACCAGTCCAAAGCGGGCATAGGGCCAAGGAACAAAAAATGCCTTTTGTTTGGCATCTTTGGAAAAACGGCTTCTTCAGCCACAAGAGGTAGTTGTGGATTCCATTAGCTCCAGCTGCTTTTGGAATCACACGTAGCACCAAGTCTGCGCTCTGCAGCTGGAGACAGAAAGATCATTTAAACACCACAGTGTGCTCTGGCTACAAATTCTGCCTCACGCGTCGCCGTTCCCTGCCTCACCCATCAGGCAAATCTCAATGATTAATGGACAGGTAGGGATCCCAGTTGGACGTTTCCTTTGGGATGTTCTCATTCTTTACGTGGTGTATCTCCTTCATTGAGATTCTCTAGTTTTGCACGCTGTTAAAGTTACCTCCAAGTCCCAGCCTGCTGCTGGGTCTGTACCTGTAATGTTGTGAAATCCAAAGACAGCTTAGGAGAACCAGAATACAACATGCTTCTTGCAAAATGAAGCCAGGAGGGTTTTTTTTGGCCAATCTAACCAATACACAGTATTGGTAACTTCAACATAACTGTGTATTGGCATCTACAACTTCTCTGGGCAACCTGTTCCACTGCCTCACCACCCTCACAGTGAAAAATTTCTTCCTTATATCTAACCTAAATCTGCCCTCTTTCAGTTTAAATCCATTGCCCCTTGTCCTATCACTACATGCCCTTGTAAAAAGTCGCTCTCCAGCTTTCCTGTAGCCCCTTTAAGTACTGGAAGGCTGCAATAAGATCACCCTGGAGCCTTCTCCAGGCTGAACAGCCTGAACTCTCTCACCCTGTCTCCATAGCAGAGGTGCTCCAGCCCTCGGATCATCTTCGTGGCCTCCTCTGGACCTGCTCCAGCAGCTCCATGTCCTTCTTGTGTTGAGGACTCCAGAGCTGAACGCAGTATTCCATGTGGGGTCTCACAAGAGCAGAGCAGAGGGGCAGAATCACCTCCCTCGACCTGCTGGCCACGCTGCTTTGGATGCAGCCCAGGATACAGTTGGCTTTCAAGTACATACCAAATCCTCCATTTGACTTCCCAAAAGCACCAACCAGCATGCAGTACAACACGTTTGATGGCAGGAACAAGACACCAGAGCAGGCTCCACGTAACAACTGCACTGCAAACGGAAGGTATCTTTGTTAGCCAGGCATCAATAGAGCAGAACGATCTAAACACAGCTCTAAGCTTCAGCTGGCTCACAGCGGGGGGTTGTGACAGGCTGACGATGGTGACAGTGAATGCAAACGAGCTGCAGGTCAGCCGGCATGTCTTGATTTGTAGGTACCAGCCTAAAGAGCTGCTTGGCTCTTGAGAATGAGCTACTATTGCCATGCCATATTCCATAATTTCCTTACGATTGTTAAAAGCTTGCAGGAAGAAATTACTCCTCCAAATCACATCCTTTCAGCATTGCTTTTGAAGAAACAAAGGACGTACCTGTGTTCATCTGGAAGCAGAGAAACTGATTGTATCACGCTTTAAAAAAAAATACAAATCAATGCTCTACACGTTCAAACTACTGGAGCATACTTAAGCATATTAAGAAGAAAAATGCTACTTAAGCATATTAAGAAGAAAATGAAAATCAGCATTCCGAGTTTTAGACTACCACTGCAACAAATAAAAATTGTTTCAATTTCTGTGTCAGGATTTTCAACCTAATTTGATGTAAAATAAAACCCACAGAAACTACAAGAAAAAAGGAAGCATTTCTCATTCTAGTTTTAAAAGTTGGCAATTTAGCTGATTCAAAATGTAACCTTGGCAGATCAACTTTCACTGGTTTTATAAGACACAACATGCAACCTAGTTGAGAAAACGTCTTTTTCTTACTTCCTCCAGGCGAATAGTTACAAGAACTTTAATATTTTCAGAGCAGTAGTAAGGGCTGAATAGGCTACCAAATCAAACAAGGTCTGAGATTAAAGCCGGACATTTACAAGCTGTCTTGAACTCATAGTGATCCTGAGGACCTTAACAAAACCAGAAACCTCTCACTGGGTTACCTCCCAACTCAAGGATGAAAAAGAATAATTAGTTTTAATACCACAAACACATGCTAAGCACCAGTCTAGAAAGAGAAAATAGGCTGGAAATGTTTTTAGTTTAGTAAAATTCATTTTACAAAGTTGAAAAAACCCAGCGAACTTGGCTTATATTTTGCAGGACAATTTCTTTTGTTCTCATTTGAAATCTAGGCAGATCTTGGATATTCTAACAGAAACATTTCCAGAATAAAGTCACCCCGACCTTCAGCAAATTATTAAGTTCAGTCTGCCCCTTCAAACACACACAAACTTCTCCAGCAATACGCTTTATCCTGCGGACTCAGCAGCTTGCAGGATAAAACTGAGATCAACAACGGCACATTTATCGTGCTGGAAATGAAAAAACTTCTCGCAGCTTGTTTGATAGAAGAGTTAGTTTGAACGAAGGTTTGATTCCACAGGATCCCACATCAGGGATTTTCTAAAGCCAACTACAAGCAGATTGTAATCCACAAGAATGAATTTCATATTCAGACTATTAACTTTATGCAACTTCACAGCAATTAGATGTATGTACTACTACGAGTTTGCATCAGGCTGTACTTTCACCTTAAGGTTTCAGGAAACTTGGAAACACAGACTTGCTTGGAAAGCAAGCTGCACACATGCACAATTTCACATGTCTGTTGGTAAATTTATATGCCCAAGTGAGTAGGTGCACAGAAATTCACGTAATTCACCAAAAGTCTCACTCAAAGTTCATTTTGAAGTTACCAGTTTGATCATCCAAATATTTGGATGCAGCATAAAAACTGCAAATCTCGATCCTATTCCCACCTTATTTAAACAGACTAGGAAGTCTATATCCAGACTTAATCAAGTATCCAAGTTGGACAATAGCACTACACCTGTAGATACCGCTACACAGAGTTGTAAGCTTCCTTTGGATCCAGCATCCAATCTATTCATGCCTCCATTTTTCTCTTATCCTTACTGTTGGTTTTGAAGTGTGACAACATGAATATAAAATATTATGTAAAACAATACATCATAATGCCATCTCTATCAAAATTTTAAACTCAAAATTCTAGCTTGGAATCAACATCCTATCCATTTTTAATTCAGTTCTTGGCAGTACTCCATATTAATTCAGATCAGGACAGCCTTAGTTGTGACAGTTGAAATGCAAGCCCACTTAAATCAATGGATAACATTTTTTCCCACAAGTGGATCAAAAATTTTTCTTACAATTCTATATGCACAGCTATTTGCAAAAAGGAAGTTTTAAAATTCCAAAGGATTCCATTGTTTGAAAAGGCTACAGGAAAAAAGGATAAAAAAACATGCACAAAACAACATTTGATACGTTTGGCACAAAAAGCTCTAAGGGATTATCAATTTTAGCATGTTTCTTAGTGAGTCCACCTATGGAAGCAACTTGACAGAAACCATAAAATCCATCAAAGTGATCAGCCTCCTAATTTTGATAAAATGACATGTGAATTAATATTGCTTTTCTGCAGATTCTCTTGCTTCCACACTACCTTATCCCAAAGACAAAGTGCAGAGTAAACCAAGGATACCCTTCTACAGCAAAAGGACCTTTTGATTCTTCCACGATCTCTTGGCTCCTTCTGACCAGAAAGCAGGTGACGAAGCTCCTTCATGAGGGCAGTGACAGACAAGGGCACTGAAGCTCTAGAAGGGTTTGTTCTAAGTGCAGCACTCTTCTTCCAAAGGCAGGGATACGTAAGAGAAGAGACAAGCTAAAGTTGGAAGCATGTCACTTCTGCATTTTCTGATAGAAGAAACTGAATCACAACTTCCTATAAATTCATTTCATATTTTTTCTTAAAATACACACTGTATTTCCATACTTAGACCGAATTCATCTCTGTATCAGTTCAAGAAGATCTGCAAACTAAGGCACAACGGCACTTACCACGGAGTGCTGAATTCCACGGCAGTTCAATGAAAGGCACTCCTAAGATACCATAGCAGAACCCAAAGTATTTCCTTTGGCTTCTGCTGAGGAATCACACATTGCTGAAGCTACCTACAATACATACCTTTTTGCTGACTCTGACACAGCCAATCGTGAATGCTGGACCTTCAGAAGCCCGTAAGAAGTGTTCACGTACACAAGTGTTTACAGCAGCTGCTGCTATTCTACTCCTGCTCTGCCAACTGCATGATTTTAATTGATTTTAGTGCCTCCTTTCTCAAAATGCAACTCTTCTTTCAACTGCTGGTCCTTCTTACTTGCCTCTCGAATGGCTACCAAAGACAGCAGGCTCCTTGCAGAAGACATTCCTGATTCAAAGTGCCGTTTCTGGCATTTAACTTGTTCCACCCCATGGACCACTCTCTTCTATCAGTTTAAATGCAGTCTTATTTGAGCCAAAGAGACAAATACAGCCAGACTTCTGAAGTCAGATGGCAGAAAGCAAAACCCACCATTGCTGCTATAATGGGATATACCAAACAGTCTACATGCATTACAGAGCAGGACGTCTCTCCAGTTCCGTGAGCTCCTCAGTAGCCTGGGAAACAAATAGTCCAGTCGTGTAAGGTTCAACACCAGTATTGGTTGAATTTGGTTCTCACCAAACCACCAGTGACCGTCAGTTTAAATTGTTTTCACTATTTATGATGGTTTGTTCATTTCCTAGGTCTTTCATAATCAAGACCGGTCAAAATGACAGAGTAATTTCAACTGCTTCTAGATTAGATGCATTCTTAATGTCTGTAAGAGTGAAAGTGTCAAGAACACGTTTTACCAGAGGTGGAAGAGAATTCATGTAGCTTTCTGTGCTGCAGGATGCTGTCACAGCATGATAAATAGTATTAATAGTCATCAGAGAACTTTGGATACAAGCTGTGAGATCACAAACTTAGCAATTCGTAGAGTTACAATTCTGAATTTTTGAGTATTATGATGAATGAAAGACTGTTTCTGACAATAAGTGCGAGACATCGAATACCTGTAGATCAGTAAGATGGAAAAAAGTAAAATCACTTCAGGATAAACTAATCGTGTACAACCAGGTACAACTACCGTACAATCAGCAGAGTACTGTTTCGGTACAATTAGTGCACAATCTAGCTTTAAAGCAGGAATTGCACCTTGAAAACTCATTTTGCCACTTTAAAGAACTACTACCGAAAGGAAATCACACAGTGTTAAACCCTCTCCCCAAACATGTAACTGAAATTTGAAAAGCAATTAATTCAAAGGCTCCTGTAAAAAAAAAAAAAAAAGGTTTCTATTTTGATTGGATGCTAATTATCAGGACAACTCTGTGTAGTCTTATTTGGTTATTAGTATATAGACATTTTTAACATTGTTCCTATGAAACAACTAACAGTTGTAAAGACTATTAAGAGAATGTAACATTTAATTTTTTTGTTACTAAAGTCTTTGGTTTTCAGGTGTTTTCTTCTAGAGAGCTGTATCATAAACAAGGAGCACATCAATATGCATGGCAAAACAAGCGGGAATTCTACTTACGAAATTAAGTTGTATGTCTCAAAAATGGAACTTTTGGGAGTATAAACAAATACTGAACAGCACATGGACTGTTTTGTAAAGTATTTAAGCAACTTGAGCATGCAAATATGTTTAAAATACATGAGTTATTTTTTAATATTCCACACAGAGTAAGAATTGCGTTGTTATTACCCACTTGGGAGCAACATTTTTGAAACATATTACCATTTAATGAAACTACATTCTACTAGAAACTAAGACTAGAATGAAGCAGGAGACTTGATTTTTTTTTTTTTTCTTTGAGGAAAAAGTGATTCAGACTAGGTCATCTGTGAATTTGCACTTAGAGACAAACTCCATGCGTAGCTAAATCCAGGAGAGTAACTCAACTTTGCCCGAAATGCAGAGTGGAAACACCGCACACCCCATCCATAAGGGACAGAGACATCTCACACAAGAAACAACGCTGTAATTTATTTTCTTTAGTTTTAAGTTCTTATAACCTCAACTTTGTTTATCCCACATAAGACATTTTCAGTAGTAAGAGATCCTCTAGTTCATGTACTATACAGTTCCAAGTAAAATAAGGGGCATTTGAAGCACAAAAAGAATTGAAAATACTAGCTTACACTGCGCAGACTTAAACTACTGCTCAAAAAAAGTGGCTTTTCAGCTTTTTACCTTTGCATTTTGGAAAGCTTCTCTGTAGTCCAAAGACAAGCAATGATTGGAGGAAAAAAAAAGCAACGGCAAAGCAGGTGGAATGAAGAAAAAGGCACATTAGTAGGAGAAACAAAGGAAATGGAAATCCCAACAGAAAACAGACACTCCTCCAATCACAAAGTCCAAAGAAAAACATTTTGCAGGTGTTTCAGAAACACGTGCTGCTGTCTATCCACCCATCCTAGCTGGGTACATGAATCACACTCCATAATATCTAGTAGTCTACATTTACACTTGCAATACAGAGAGCACATCTCTTGCACGGCACGATTCCTTGCCCCAAAGAGCTTACAATCTAAGTGCATAAAAAAGAACGCGTCAAGTAGCTAGATCAAGATCAAACAGGCAGAGAAGACAGGGAAATAATTTTATAAGGGATTAAAGTTGGGTTACATTACTAAAAATGAGGTAACTTCTGAACATCATTGGCAGTGACGTTCTTAAGATGCAAGCAATTTTTCAGTCAGAAGCTCTT